AGCTGAGTGATTGGTCATTGGCAGGAGAAGACGATCGAGAGAGTTGACCTCAGCATGACAGCAGGAGATGACCAGGAGGAAGAGGCAGAAGTGTTTCAGGGGGTCGAAGTCATGGTGGACCACGTGGTGCCAAATCCTCCATCAGTTCTGTGCTCAAAGATCCAGACAGCAATCCATACAGCTTACTTGATAATACAGAATCAGATCAGACTGCAGACACTGATGCCAGCGAATCTCATCACAGTACTAACCGTCGTAGGCGGTCTCGTAGACGAAGGACTGATGAAGATGCTGTTCTGATGGACGGAATGACTGAATCTGATACAGCTTCAGTTAATGAAAATGGGCTAGGTATGTAAACACTCAGGAAAAGAGAAAGTAATTTTATAATGTGAATGTATGAAACCTTTTTCAAAAAGTATGCAGTTTATAAGTTGGCTTTTTCTTAGTGTTTACTTAATCAAGGTTTACATTAACTTTTTGTCTTTCGTAAATGTCTAGTTCTCACCTGTTATGGTCAAATTATTTGAAACTTAAGAATTAAATAAAATGCCCTCTTAAGCCATTTAATCAATGTAGATATTCAAACTGCAAGGTACTTCCTGCTCTGTTGTCCCCAAACCAAAATTGGGCTTTCAGCTTATGTCTTTAAAATTATTATAAATGACACCAATTGAAGGTATGTATATCAAGAGTAGGGTGTTAGTTTCCAGAGGGCTAAAATGTTGTTAACCATACTAAGCTGTATTGGAGAGGAAAACTTTTTCACTAAATGGTGGTGATTTAAAGTCTGAGAGTTGATGTTACTGATTTCCAGATGATAATTCCGTTTTGAATTATTTAAAGTCCCTAAAGCTACAAAAGTATACTTGTCAGTAACATGTCATTTTTATATTTTGGTGTTCAATTAAGTTTCTTGCCTCATCATTAAATCTTGGAAGGAAAGAAGCATTTTTGTTTTTTTTTTTGTTGTTTGTTTTTTTTTTGTCAGAATAGTTCATGATAAACTTTGCAATTGCAGATGATAGTGAAAAAAAACCCCAGCGACGCAATCGTAGCCGCAGGCGTCGTTTCAGGGGTCAGGCAGAAGATAGACAGCCAGGTAACTTGAGTGGACCTTTTGACATCATCAGGTTATAAGCATGGAAAAAGTCATGTGTCTGCTTCCTAAATATAGTATACTTTCATGTGCACATGTGTGTATATTCATTCAAACTTTGCATTGCATAAATGGTTTACTCAACTAATAAGACTACTTTAGAAAATGCATTCTTCCTTTACATCATAAATGTTTAGTAACCTGTCTAATTGAACTAATACTGTGTCTCCAGTTGTTAAAAAAAATAACTGTTGACAAGACCACTATTTTGTTCACTCGGCAGACTTCACACTTGAGACGGGGCCTGCCAGAGTTGGAACTGTGTTGTAGATTGTGATTGACGTTGACAGGCAAAACTGGGTAGCTTTTGCATGGTGCCTGCTTACTATATTTGGATTCAGCACCTCATTTTTGTGGGAATTGTAATGCCCACAGTTGGAAAATATAAAAGAGAACAATACTTGAAAGTGTCTTTTTTCTAACAATAGCATGGGTTTTTTTTTTTTTTAATGTGATGCCTTTTCCCTTACACCTACTAACTATCAAAATTAATACTACTACTTAGTTTTAGAATATGACTTTATTTTGTGTAGTCATAATTTTTAGTTCTAAGAAACTTGTTTCCTATATATCATTTTGAACATAATTCCATTTCCTGTGTACAGATAATCACATGTATATTCACAGTGAAGAGATTATGTGCACCAGAAATAAACGCCTTTCAAACTAAACAATTTTTTCCATTCTTTCTAAAACATTCTTATGTGTGTTTTGCCCAAATTAAAGAATGTAAATTTTTTTATTCTAGCATCTTTGATATTTTAAGTTGTAGAGACATCTGGGGAAGCACTGGTTAAGTATTCTCATTCTTGAAAATCCATGTTTTAAAGATAGTTGGAAAATTGAGAAGAAATTTAATGTTGTCAAAAGATAGAAAGTGTCTAGAAAATGTTTATTGTTTTATTTTTTTTTCCCTTCCCTCCTTTATGGCTTGAAATATATTTTAGATGAAGAGATCATACTTTGTTTTTTCAAAGTGGCACATCAGTGAATACATTTTCTGGCCCTACTTTATAAACAAGCAAATTCAGGCTATTGCATACCAATAAAGCCCATATGGCTTCAGGCTACTGGTATGAGATTAACATAGAATAAATTATAATTTATTAACTAGATGAATGCTTAGTTATTTTTAACAGCCATAAACAAATAAAAGGGTTTGTTAAAGAGAGGCAGAGATTTTTGTATGGTATTAATTGAAACAAGTAATTTGAAGTTTTCAGCAGTTTGACAACAATTTATGTTCCATACTGTATCTATTACTATTTTACTCTGTTTTTGGAGTTACTGCTTTTCTTTTAAAATTTTTTAATTGCCAGAGGGCACATGTACTGGCCAGAGACCGAGAGAGGCAGTAAGCACCCCCAGTGGGGTATGATCATAACATAATCCCTTCTCTAGCCTCCTAGGAATTTTGAGCACATATCTGCTTGGTGCCTTACTTTATTTTTCTTTTCCCCAAGTTCCCAGGGCTGGGATTTGAACTGTGGTTGGCCATAGGGAATCTGACCCCCTTAACCACTAGACTATGGGGCTGGACCTTGTAATGAAATGATGAATAATTTACATAGCTTCATAGTGTGCATACTGAATTTTTTATAATTTGGAAGGAAATAGCAGTTTTAGACTTGCATCTTCCCTGGTTTATGGTCTGAAATAAGTTTCCCTGTTATTTTAAAAGATTCATCTGAGATAATAATTCCTAGAAAGTCCTTGGATCTTATAAAAGGGCATGTTAATTCTTAATTAAGAAAAAGGAATTGTAAATATTACCCAGGTTCCCCCCCCCCTTTTTTTTTAAATTTGCTACAGGGTGCATGTGCTCATAGAGGGAGGGAGGGAGAGGGGGAGAGAGAGAGAGACAGACAGACAGGGAGAGGGGCAAGAAACCACCCTCCAGGAGGACTGGTTCCTTCTCCATTCTTTTCTCTGGATTTTGGCCACATTCAAATGCTCAGCATGTTTTTTTTCAAGCTGCAAATTTAAGGCACTATTGGCCATGTGGAGTCCAGCTGCTTTAAACACCATGCTGCCAGCTGGATCTCCAGCTTTTTATTAGATCAAAGTAATTTGGTTATTTTCATATCATTTGAACCCGATAGACCAATTCTCAATATTTTTTACATTAAACAATTTTAAATTTACTTGAGTTTTTATTGCTTACACAGTGAACTTGCTCCTAAAATTTTAAGTATACATGATATTTTCACAATACCAGGAATTTTCTTAACCAGTACCTGTTAGGAAATAATTTGAAAATAAAAAAGGTTGGTTATTTTTAGTTTATTCAAATCAGTGGAATCTTGACAGAGTGAGGCTGATTCACAGTACCTGTTGAACTTGTAAACAAATGGCCAACTTGAGTAGGGAATATGGTATTAGGTTGGGTTAGCCTTTTCCCTAAATCCACTTTTTTGCAGACACACATTTCAGTCCTGAGCAAGACTCACAAAGTGCTGGGTAAAGTTGTGGTCACTGTTCACTCTGGCCCTGTTCCCACCTTAATCATTCATTCCACACTTTCAGGGTAGTTGTCTGTCATCTTTACAATTTCCATATGTTATATCACTCAGAATCTTGTGTCAGATATTAGAAAGGAACCATAAAATACCACATTTGGGTATCTTAAATGAGTGTGTGTTTTTTAAGGAAAATGAAACATTTCAGTAATCTTTTATATTTTCATTGAAATTTTCAGATTTATATCACACCATGATTTGCACCAAATTTCCCCATACTGTCTAGGCTTAGAAGACTACATCTGCATTTATTTTTGGTTGTGGGTTTCTATACCATATTTGTCCCACAGCTTTAAAGTAGATCAACCACAAGCAAATGCTGGATTCTTGGGAAAGAGGATTTTAATCTAGCCTCAATCTCCAGCTTGAAATTTTCTACTGTCAGCACTAAAATCACAGTTAAGTTTTTTCAAACTTCGCTTTTGGTTAGAGGTGGTACCCAGCTTAAGAAAATTTTGAAATTGGGTGACCCACCGTTAGTTTATTTTAGTAAAATTACTCTTATCCATAAATAAAGTTTAGAAATACTTTTTCAACACCTGTAATTTTTTTCTCATCTTTAACAGTCACAGTTGCAGATTATATTTCTAGAGCTGAGTCTCAGAGCAGACAAAGAAACCTCCCAAGGGAAACTTTGGCTAAAAACAAGAAAGAAATGGTAAGGAGAATTTAACCTGTAGGTGGTTTGTTTTTTGTTTTTTATTTTGATTTTTTTGTTGTCTTTGGGTTTTTTTTTTTTTTTTTTTTTTTATGGTTTAGCTTTATTTTTCTACATCTACTTTCTGTTTCCCCAAATAGACAAATAATATTTTAAAGAAGAGTCCTGATTTTGTTCTTGGCCCAAGTTATGTGAAGATGTGCATGCTTGATCCTGAAATGCTTTTTATTCAGTTAGAACTTGAAATGGCATTTGTAAAGTTCAGTCTGCCCAAAGATATTATGTGTAGACACTTAATTTGGGAGAGCAATAGGCTATTAAACCATCTTGGTGATGGATATAGACCTTTAAAATTTCAGTTCTTTTAAATGCTTTAAGGAATTTGAAATGCGAGTTTAAAAAGGTGAGTAATTAGGTGACTATTTGCTTTACTTATAATATTAACTGTTCATATAATTTACATGGTAAGCTTGCCAGTGTTTTAAAATGAAGTACAAATTTCATTAAATAGTACAAGTGTTCTGCATCATTTGTGCACTGTTAGGTATGAGAGATACCAAGTTGGAAGGCCCAGAGGGTGGAGTACATTGCTATTTGTTTTGAATTTAAGAATGTTTTGATTCTTTGATCCAGTGTGGCGTATGAAACTGAAACTTTTTATTAGCTAATGTTTACGTAGCTATTTTCCTCCTCAGATATAGATTTCATTTATAAAGTAGTTGAAAAAGTTGTCTCCCTTTGGCAGGCAAAAGATGTGATTGAAGAGCATGGTCCTTCAGAAAAGGCAATAAATGGCCCAACTAGTGCTTCTGGCGATGAAATTTCTAAGCTACAGCGTACTCCAGGAGAAGAAAAGATTAATACCTTAAAAGAAGAAAACACTCAAGAAGCAGCAGTCCTGAATGGTGTTTCATAAACTGAAGAAGTTCCTAGTTTACAGTTCTTTTACATTACATTTACAATAGTGCTTGTACAAGCTTGCCAAAGATAGAATATGGATCGCCAGTCTTTACATCGCACTTTCAGTTCCTCCATTCGGAATTCAGAAAGGGGAGGGATCCTGAAGAAATCATATGTTAAACATACTTTGACACCTACTGTGTTATAAAATATATCATCAGATGTGCCTTGAGAATAGTATATGTAACATTAAAAAAAAGTTGCTGGCTATAGGAAATGTTATTTTGTTTTCAAAATATGGCAGAGAAGGGGGGTGGTGGGGAGGGTGGGATCCCTATGGTAAATATTCTTTATGAAAGCATTAGCTGCTTTTGTTACATTTTTAATAATATGCAACCACTTCTTCACCTGAGGAAAACTAGAATGAAATGCAGTCTAAAATATTTTGCACTGAATTGTAATTTCTTCATTAGTTTAGTCTGGAAGCTGGTCTGTTTTAATGTTTTTAAAATGCTGTATGGAGAAGAAAAATCTGCAGACCACTGGAATACATTTGTTAAACTCTCATCTGCAGGGACACTGGGTGGTGTTGGCAGTGACTGTTCTACATTGAGGCTTTGTTTGGTTTATTTATTAAAGTGTACAGTATTTAAAAATCAAACATAGCTTTAGTTAAAAAACACTAAGCTGAATTAGTCATGTCCATTCAGACATAACCTAAACTACTGATAAGATCAATTTCCAGAAGGTTTATTCTGTATAAACTACATGTTACTCTTTAGTAGAGTATCTTTTTTTTTCTTCTTTCCTTTTTTTTTTTTTTTCTTTTGGGATTTTGGTTGTTTGATGTGCAATATGTTTTTGTATGCAGGTAGTAAATAAACTTTGATCTTCCATTTGCTGATTTTTAACTTTCTACTTTTTACATCAATTGTTGCAAAGTAATTGGAGCTACTTAACAGGCCTAGTATACTTGGATTGCTTTTTATTTAAGCATCTATACTTGCTCATAAATAGCATTAACATGTCAGTAGGCCATTAAACATTTTTGTAATGAATCCTCATAACAAAAATTTTAGGCTGTTAGAATACATGACTCAGGGAATTGTTAACACATTATTAGGAGGATATCTTTCTAACATAAAACTCTAATCAGAGGCATCTTTTGGAAAATGGGATAGAAGCTAGAATTTTATTTTTGCCTTTATTAAAAATTCTTTAAAAGTATGAACAACTTTTAAATACAGAATAAGCCAGTAATTTCATTTTTGATTCTCAAGGAAATAATGTTGAAAGTTTGCTTACCAATAACTGAAAACCAGTGATTGAACTTCTTCTGTATATATTTTAGCCAGAAGTATTAATTTTTACAAAGAGACTTTTACATGGTGTTTGTTTTAGAGTAATAATTTATATAGCTAATTGAGATAAAATCAAATAACTATGGACTTACGGGAGGTTTTGCTCTACAGTAAATGAATCATTGAGCAAAAATGATGACCCTTTATTTCTTATGTCATTTAACATCTGAGAAAGATTTTATGTGCATAATTTTTGTTAATTTGTTATGTACATAAAAATGTTAAGTGATTTTATATTAACTGAAGGATAATTCAAGGTATAGTAAAAAGTAAAATTTACCAGGTCAATGTATGTAACCCTATCCCTCAAATTTATTTTTATTGAGGTTAAAATGTACTAGTATAAATGCTTTCTCTTAAAAGTTTTCTTAATGGTCCCTGGTAACTTGAGGATTTTAAGGAAGGTGTGAATAGTGTAATTCCTAAACTTTTGTATAAAAGTGACTATCGAGTAAATTTATATCCTCATGTTTAAAAACCTACCCACAGATGTCTTTTTATTTTAATCCATCAAAGCTAGAAATGAGTTAAATTTATACCCTTTTAATTCCTAGTTCTTGCATAATTGGGTTATAAATTAACCACAAAGTATCAGAAGAATTTTAATCAGTCCCCAAATTGGCAAATGTATATAGAAAAAGTGACTTTTTATTCAATTTGTAATAGTTTACTGAAATTCTTTTTCATTAAGATTGTTTCAGCGGGAAAGGGAATAACAAAACTTGTTTTTAAAATGAGTGTAGTTGATAGAAATTCTTTAGCAGTAATAATCATGCTTAAGAAATAGCTATTAAGATTTCATTACACTAAACCTTATGTCTTGTCCTTTACAAAGGGGGGAGGTCTTGAAAAAGTTCATGGAAAATGCACATTAGGAAAAGGCTATGGATGAATTTCACAATTCTTTCGCATCAAAATAAACTTGTAAGTTCGATTTTTCCACAAACCCGAGGTTCCCTCATAAAACTGTGATAAGCAGGACTTTGTTATTTGAAACAGTACATGTGCACATTCCCCAGTATTCAGTAGAAAGCCCTTTCTTCAGAGGTAAAATACACACTTAAGCAACAAATGCATTCTGAAAAAACTTGGTCAGCAGTAGCTTTGGCACTCACACGTGAAATCATTTGGAAACTGAATCATGAAGAAGCTGAGGTTATGTGGGGGGGGAAACAACCTGCTTTTCCTGAAGACTTGGGATTCTTGTACTTTGTTTTTAGGCATCACCTATGTTGGACTACTCAAGCCCTGAAACTGTTCTGCAAAAGTGTCTGGTAATAAGTTAGACATTGCTGGTAAAAGTAAATATACACAGAATTATTAATTTAAAATAATCCTATTTTAATGTACAATTAAGTAGCTCATCAACCTGACATTTACTGGAGATGATGTTTAGGACAAAGATGAGAGATGTGGCTTTCAAATGAATGTAATTTTTAAACAAAGTATAGGCAATAAGTTTCACAGGGACTTAAGAACGGGGACACACTAAGCTGTAATGGAATCTAAAGCTAGTGTTTTAACTTGTCTCTGGATTCATAATAGCCATTCTTTCGTGGCTGCGTACATTGTGCTCAGTCACGGGTATTTTGTACCCTTTAACTGCTATGTTTAGCGTTTTGTAGCCATGTTAACTAAATGTTATACCTGAATTGGAAAATATCATTTGTGTCTTGCAAACATTTACTTTTTTGAGGTTCAAACTAGTATTTTCACAGGGTGTACCTACAATAAGCTAACACTAAAACAGATTGGCTATAATGCCACAGTCTTTTGTCAGTCCAATGATATGTGATTACTTGGGATGACAGTAAAGAGAAAAATGCTTTTACAAACCTTATTTTTTTAGGCTTCAAGGAACTTTGAGATTTGAATTGGATCTTAGGGGGTTGACAAAATTCCCAAGGGGGGAAACTCAGCATGTCCATATTTTTGTTATATTGATAGTTAAGAATCCATAAACCTTTTTATCAGGGTATTCTGATAGAGAGTGAATTTGCTGATCTCTTAAGTTTTGGTTCTTTATTAGGATATGTGCTTGAATGGATTATAGTTGCTCATAACCCATGATTAACCTATGACAAATTTTTGGTTTTACTTCAGGAACTGTTATAATAAAGAAATACTGCAGTCTGCTATAGTTAAACTTTTGACAAGTGTTACTGGAAACTACTGCTGGCTGAGTTCATTAGGTTGAACAGCAGGAACTTACCACTTCTGTGGATCAAAATGGTCAACAGTTTCCTATGGTTCAGCTAATTATTTAGTTGAACTAACATGTTAAAGAATATTTTGTCAGAGGTCACAGTGCTCTTACAGAGAAACAGGAAGGAGGAAGTACCCCTCACTCTTACTGGTCATGTCACAATTCCTTTGCCATCTTGTTGGGATTCTGGGGTACTTTGGGGGGATTCTAAACTGTAGTTAGCCATGTGGGATACGGCTTCCTTAACCACTAAGCTATAGGGTGGCCCTATAACATAGCTTTATAAGATGATTTCCTATAGTGCATTTGTGTTTTTATTCCTTTGATAATCCAAAAAAGATGGGAGGGGCCAGCAGGTGACATGGTTAAGGCACTATCCCACATAGCCTGACCACAGTCCAAGTCCTGGACCTGGTGGCTTGAAAATCATGACTGACCTGTATGCGTGCTTGTGTGTCCAAAATCCCTGGAGAAGGGACTGCAGCATGGCTGTCACTACTAGGGGATGCATTCTCTCTTTGCTCCTCTCCGGTGAGCACACCTGTCCCATGTCAAAAATTTTTAAAAAGATAAAAGTATGGAATTGGGAGCCACCGTTTTCTGTTAATTTTTTCTCTAATGGTTTCAATTCCCTCCAACCAGACAGCCTGGACTAGTTTTATCACTTGAGTGCCCTTCCAGTCTGCTTGTCAAACCCTGGAGGAATAACACTTAACTAGAAATCTGATTAGTCTTACAAGGAGTACGTGGAATTAAAATTATGTTTTTATGACATATGTGTCCATCTCAGTTATTTCAAACTGTGAAATGCAGTCTACAGGTATCCAAAACAAGGGCAGCATAATTCGTGTGTGTGTGTGTGTGTGTATATATATATATATATATACACACACACACACACACACGTATGTATATATAATTTTATTTTTTTTTACCAACATGCTCAGTCTTACATCCCATGTTGAGTTATACAATTTTTTTTTGAGATTTTTGCTGTAGCGCACATGCATTCATGGAGACAGTGAAACCATTGCCCAGGGGGATTAGCTGCACCACTATCCCTTCTCCATTCTCTCAAAATTTTGGACACACACGTACAGCTGGTACAGGTGTCAAGCTGCTTGGTCTGGGATTCAAACTCTGGTAGTCCAACACTATGCTGTCAGCCCCCAAGTATACTACTTAAAAGCTCCTTGAATTTATATTTCAGTGACCAGTATGTTCTTTTTCTGGGTGAAATATTTTCTGCCTGTTTGTATCCTTTTACTTTATGGGTTATTTGTAAAATACACCAAGTTTTCTAGCTTAAGAGACCCATTTTCATTAAATACTTTCCAGAAGTTTTTCTAGAAAAACCAATTTATGCTTAATTGTTGCCTGGAGCTTATACTTCAGCCTCTTTGACTCATTTTTTTGAAGAATGTAAATGTTCTATTTGAAACCTCACTAAATGGTATAGCAAGTGTTACATATTCTAGATTGCATCAACACTGACCCAACCCTATTGTTGGGTCAGGAACACAGGAGAGAATCTCTTCCTTTATCCTGTTGTTGCAACAGCAGTAGGCTCTAAGATGCCCAGCACCCTGCACAATATTAGAACGACAAAAGGCAACACTTAGGTCATTTAACTTTCCTGATACTTAATGGTTAGTTTTAGTCCAGACTCCACAACCAAAAACATGCATTCTGAATAGTGGTTTGTTGCCTCAAATTTTATTTTTATTCTGTTCTTTTGAACAAAATCCTTCACTATATTAAAGTATACCTTATAAATCCTCTTATTGAAACAACTGTACATTCCAGCCTAAAATTCTAACCCCCACTTTTTAATTTTTCTTTTTGCCAAAGGGCATGGCACTCAGAGAGGGACAGTAAGAAATCAACCGCCCCCCCCACCCCCCAAAGGGGATGGCAGCGTGGCAACCCCTTCTCGATTCTTTCAGGATTTTGCACACACATGCACCTGGAGTGTGTTTCAAGTTCCCTGGTTTGGGACTTGAACAGTGGTTGGCCATGTGGGAATCCAGTGCAATGTTCTATTTGAAACCTCACTAAATGGTATAGCAAGTGTTACATATTCTAGATTGCATCAACACTGACCCAACCCTATTGTTGGGTCAGGAACACAGGAGAGAATCTCTTCCTTTATCCTGTTGTTGCAACAGCAGTAGGCTCTAAGATGCCCAGCACCCTGCACAATATTAGAACGACAAAAGGCAACACTTAGGTCATTTAACTTTCCTGATACTTAATGGTTAGTTTTAGTCCAGACTCCACAACCAAAAACATGCATTCTGAATAGTGGTTTGTTGCCTCAAATTTTATTTTTATTCTGTTCTTTTGAACAAAATCCTTCACTATATTAAAGTATACCTTATAAATCCTCTTATTGAAACAACTGTACATTCCAGCCTAAAATTCTAACCCCCACTTTTTAATTTTTCTTTTTGCCAAAGGGCATGGCACTCAGAGAGGGACAGTAAGAAATCAACCGCCCCCCCCACCCCCCAAAGGGGATGGCAGCGTGGCAACCCCTTCTCGATTCTTTCAGGATTTTGCACACACATGCACCTGGAGTGTGTTTCAAGTTCCCTGGTTTGGGACTTGAACAGTGGTTGGCCATGTGGGAATCCAGTGCCTTAACCACCATGCTATCTGCTGGCCCTAACTCCCACCTTTTAATTGCCATAGGGCAAATGTACTGGCCTGAGACAGGGAGAGGAGAAAGCAAACTCCAGCTGGGCACCGTCATTTTTCCATTCTGCTGGCATTTGAAGATGCTGTCATGTCACTGGGCCTGAGACTGAACTGACTGGCCAGGGGGATCCAGCTCCCTTAATCACAAGGGTAAGGGCTGACTCCACTAACCTTAAGCATTCTGCCTGATGGAACTTCATTTTAAAATATTTTCTGGTGTAAGATTTTCTTTAGAAATATGCATACATTTTCAGTGTATCAGTGTGGTACAATGAACAGGTTTTGGGTTTTACCTTGAGTTGTTAGTTTTTCCCAGTAACTTAATGGTTTTGCTTCTAACTGTCTTCTATTCCTCCTTGTAATTTAGAGAAAAGTAAAAGCAGAAAACCATAATCAGATTTCTAGAATCAGCAGACTAAGGTATGGGCTTACATACCATTTTCATGAGTTTTCAATGAGTTATTGAATGGAAATTTTGAAGTAGTGATCTGTGTGACTAGAGAATTTTCTTCATTTAAATGTTCCCATAAGTATGCCAATCATTTGGGAAATACTCAAAGGCTAGAGATTTGGCTTAAAACTAGCTCACTTTGGGAACCAGCAGTTAGTGTTATGGCTATGTCGCTGGACTCCCACGTAGTCGACCGCGGTTCACGTCCCGGACCCGGTGGCTTAAAACTCACGCCGGGTACGTGTGCGTGCGTGCCCAAGATCCCGAGAGGAGAATGGAGGAGAAGGGATTGCAGTGTGACCATCCCCTCTGGGGGGTGATTTCTCGCTTTCTGTCTCTAATGTCTCTCTGTCTGTCTGGCGAGTGCACGCACCCTATAGTGAAAATCTCTCAAAAAAACACACACAAAAAACTAGCTCACTTTCATTATCTGACAAAGCCAAGTGTTTATATAGCAGTGTGTAACTTGTCTGCTAATACTGTTGACCCAGAGGCCCAGTCAAGACAAAAGGGAAGGGGCTCAGGGACACAAAAAAACTCTGGTATGATAGATCTAATATTAAGGCTGTTGATTAGACAAACACCCCCAAGCCTCCCCTCCCCCCCCAAAAAAAAAAAACATTGAGGACCAACATCAGAGAACCAAATAAAAGTGAACTGGGGAAGATATCCAGGGCTTAGTTTTGGTTTTCCTAGCTGTATAAACTTAGGAACAGTTTCCTCTGGACTTTTGGTTCCCTATCAAATATAGTAGGATCCTCACAATTCTGAGTTGGCAATTTGTCCTTTTAAATATGTGGTGGGGGACCAGCAGTTAGCGTAATGGCTGTGTCGCTGGACTCCCATGTAGTTAACCACAGTTCAAGTCCTGGACCTGGTGGCTTAAACTCACGCCGGGTGCGTGTGTGTGTGTGCGTGCCCAAGATCCTGAGAAGAGAATGGAGGAGAAGGCATTGCAGCATGGCCATCCCCCCCTGGGGGGTGACTTCTCTCAGTTTCTCTGGTGAGAGCACAAGCCCTGTGGCAAAACACCCCCCCCCTCCAAAAAAAATAATAATACAAGCAAGATACAACACATTCTAGAAAAATATAAACAAGCAAAATGTGGAGCCAATTTAAAAAAAAAATATGGTGGCAGAGTTATCCCAACTATTGCAAAAATTTGACTTAAAACCTGCACCAGCTGTTAAGTGTGCTTACCATATGCTCTTAACTCCGTTTAAATAAGCCTTTATATATATCTGTAAACATCAATTGATGAAAAAAATGCTTGGATTTGTCAGAACTGAAAGGTTCCATGGTGAAGGTTAAGAGCATGGAAGTTGATCAATAAAGATCAGCTTATTCTACATGCCACCTTGGGCAATTACTCATCCTCACTAAACTTCAGTTTTCTCACAGGTAAAATGTACATAAAAACCAGTCTATTGAGAGAGCTGCTTAGGACAATACCTTGTCACTATAAATATCTGATGATATGTTCACATTACAGATCAAGCATTTGTAAGAAAACGCCCTTGAACAATGAAGGCTCTTACAGGTATCTGCATCAATTACCCTTTATGATCCAGACCTCACATAGAAGACATTTAAATGTTCAGTGTTCCTAATACCCTTCAGTGAAATATGGACTCTTACTGGAGAAAGGTAAGCCTTGAAAAATAAAACTGATTGCTATGGAAAAAAAAAATGCACTCTTGTGCTCTGGAGTATTATTTTAAAGTGGTTTCTATTGTTTTAACACCGTTCTTAAAACAGACATGCCATCTGCATTCAACATTCAAAAGTATATTACATTAAGTTTTCCTTTTTTTAGAATTAATGCTTGATTGCCTGTGGGCGTATTATCACACTATTTTATTTATCTTTGAAAATCTTACTTTTAAGTTTTAACTGATACTGTCTTCTCCTTAAAGCTCTTGTTCATAGAAATATTTTTTGATTAGACCAAGGGACTGAAATAAACATAAAACCAAAATACAGTTGATCCTAAACTAGCAGATTCCTTATTTGTCAGTTTGCCTGCTCAAATTTATTTGTAATCTCCAGATCAGCACATGATGTGCTTTCCTGCTCATCCTCAAAGTGACAGAAAACCTGAATCATGCATGTGCATAAAACAATGTGCTGTGCTCACCCTTCTTGTTTCAGCTCTTAGACTATAAACAAGTGTCTTCTGTGGTCTCTTTAGTGCCAGGTTTCATGTTTGTGCTTTTTGATGGTGGTTTTAAGATGGCTCCCAAGCATAGTGGAAAAGTGCTGCCTACTGTCAAAATGCAGCAAAGGCTATGATGTACCTAGCCTGACTTACAGTACCACTGGCTGGGTTTAACGCTGTTGAAACTATATGGGGAGGAAGGTCATCTTCAGAATGTTCAGACAATGCATACAATGAAAACATGCATGGGTTTAAAAATATTTTTTACACCAAAATAAAACGTATACTTTACTACCATAGTTCCATGAACTTTTTTGAAGTCCCTGATTATATTAAATAAGATGTCTTTAAGCAGACACACATAAAACAAAGTTTTGATCAGTTGACTACTAGAGACTCTCAGGAACTAATACCTCTCCAGGAACATGGTTAGGTTTTGCTGTTTTAGTGTTCACAACAACTTTATGGGACATGGATACCTTGAATAACAAGATACTCAGCCCAGTAGCTCCTGGACATAGCTAACAAAATATATGCATGACTCCTTAGAAACTAGTGCTTTGCTGTACTCTAAATGTCCACACTTCCTCAGATTTTAAACAAGGACACAGAGATAGAAAAGACAAAACAGATATACCTTACTTTAAAATGATTATCTCTATAATTTTTACCTCAAAAGCCCTTTATGATTTAAGAATGTTTAGGTAGTATAATTTATCACCTTAGAGCTACACATTATTAATATTTCTGTTGGGGGAACATAAATTCAAGCTAGTTTATCTCAGGATTTCTGATTTTTTTTGGGGGGGGGGGTGAGTGCACATACACTTGCCAGAGGTGGAAAGCACATCCCAATTAGAGTGTGGTCATGTTCCAGTCTCTTGTATATTTTTACATCCTGCTGGGATTTGGGGCATACATGCATATGCACCTGGCATGTTTATGACTAAAACCAATTAAAGAAATAACTTATAAATAGCAATTATCTTTAAGAGGCTAGCTGAATACAAAGTAAAACTTTTCTTAAAAACAGGACCTATACTGGTTGTATATATCTTGAACTACTTTTCCTCCCAGTAAGTCCCTATGCTAATTCCGTCATAACACTTATTACATATTTTAGTTACTAGTTTGTCAGTCTCCCACTAGTCTACAGGCTCCTTGAGAGCCAGGGCTGTCTTCACTCTGCCTTTAGAAAGTACGCACAGGTACCAAATGATTCACTTAATGAGCAATACGTCTATTCAAATAATAAGCATTTGTCTATAGTTACTGAGAATTGCTAAATATTCTAAACTAACCTTAGTTAATTTAAAATCCTCAAATTTAATCAAACTTATACCAAGACTGACTTAGCTTGTGTTTAGTCATTTTTAAAAACTGCAGCTTTGAGGCATTTTATTATAAAAAGTTGATATTCATATACATAAACTAATATGAACTTAAAATCATACATTTAATTCATTTCTTTGCTTGACCTTCTAGTAAATCTTTAGCTTCGTTGATTTTGGCTGCTATATAAGGAGATCCTCCTACAGAAGAAAAAAAAAAGTAGTTATTATATGAAGTCTCAATTTCTGCTTTATTAAAAACTACTTTCATTTCAGGGATACCAATGCTTAGCTGATAGGTGGAATTAGCAGAAATAATTCCATTATTTTTAAAAAATTTGTCAGAGGATATGAACTTGTCAGAGATGGAGAAAGGAAAAACAGGAAAGCACTTTTCCTAAGGAATAGTCACACTGCCACCCCTTCTCTATTTGTCTCTCTTTTGGGGATTTTGGGTACCTATTCACCTCATGTTTCTCAAACTGTGGGGCTGACCATGTAGAATCCAGCCATCTTAGCCAACGCACCATAGGCTAACCCAATATTTTCATTAAATAAACAAAACAAGATAAAAAACTATCACACTGCAAGCAGATTACCAAATAACGTGGCAAAATATATGAGACCAATAATGGAGTAATTTACATGAAGGAGATTTCTACAAAAAAATGACACCCTTGGGACCAGCAGATGGTGTAATGGTTACATTGCTGGGTTCCCACATAGGTGACTGTAGTTTGAGTTCCAGACCCAGTGGCTTCAAACTCACAGTGGGCATGTGTGCCCAAAATCCCAAGAGGAGAATGGAGAAGGGACTGCAGCGTGGACATCCCGCCCAGAGGGTGATGTCCTGCTTTTTGTCTCTGTTTGGCAAATACACATAACATATAACAAAAATCTCTCTTAAAATAAAAAATCCACCTCTTAAAGCTTTAATAAACTGATGGAAATAGGGTTTTAGAAAACACACATGTACATATAAATATCTATCTTTGAAATACTGTAAATTTACTCATGATGATTATAAGCCATGAATAGAAGACGTGACAGAAGTTCAAACTTCGGGCCAGCAGGTGATGTGGTGGTTAAGGCACTGGATCCCTTTATGGCTGACTCTGCAATTTGAATCCCAGACTCTGTGACTTGAAAAACATGTGACCAAAATCCAAAGAGAACAATGCTATTTTAAAAAAAATTTAAAAAAGAAAAAATCAAACTTGGCAACTCCACCTTAAACCCACCAAGTCAGAAGCCCTCCAATTAAGTCTCATAAATGACCCTATGAGATCAGATACTAATATAATCCTGTTTAAACTGTTAAAACCATCTTTGTTAATGAAAGGTCTCTCCTGTTTAAGGTCTAGAATTCGGATTTTAGTATTCAAAAGTAACTATTTTCTTTCAACATAAATAACCAAGGTAGCTTAGAAGTATACCATAAATACACCCTCAGATTTCTTTTTTGTGTTTTGAAGAGGTTTTTGCTATAGGGTGCATGTGCTCGCTAGACAGACAGAAAGTGACCAATGACCGCCCAGGGAGGATGGCCATGCCACAATCCCTTCTCCTCCATTCTCCTCTTGGGATCTTGGGCATGCACATGCGCCCAGCACAAATCTAAGCCACCAGGTCCGGGACTAGACCCACAGTCGGCTACATGGGAGTCCAGCAACATAGCCAATATGCCAACTGCTGGTCCTGCATCCGCATGTTTCTAACTAGGCAATCTCAGTTCAAACAATCTAAAATATATGGGAGAAAGTTACACTATAGTTTTGTTAACTGAAAATTAATATTTCCCTATAATTATTATTATAAGTGGGGGAAAAAACCACTCAGAAAATATTAACAGCATTTGTGACTGTCACTAGAAGTCATATTTCATCACAATTACAGATCTCCAAACATTGTTAATGCTATCTCTGTAAAATTATAGTAATATTTAGACTCATTCATTCTATAAGTGAACTTTTCAATTTATTTCTTTTTAAAAAATAAATTTAATTAATTTGTTGTTATGTTTTATTTTGACCAGAGAGATAGAGAGAAAGGAAAAGTGAGAAAGCAAGCTGCCTGGTCTAGGACTCAAACCATGGTTGGCCATGTGGGAATACAACGCCTTTGACCACCACACCACCTGCCAGCCCTCAGAATTTCTTTTAAGATGTAAAAATACATCTAGCCAGCCTCAGAGACAGCAGTCAGAGACTTAGCCATATTCCATATGATAGCCAAGAGTGAGAGAAAAATATTGTTCTTTATTTTAGAGAGAGACTTGCTATAGGGGACATGTGCTCACCACAGAAACAGACAAAAAATGAGAAATCACCCCCGGCATGGATGGCCATACCGCAATCCCTTTTCTTCCACTTTCCTCTCTGGATTTTGGGCATGTGCACACGCACACGCACTCGACATGAGTTTGAAGCAGCTGGGTCTGGGACTCAAACTGTGGCAGACCACATGGGAGTCCAGTGATGCCACCATTACGCCAATTGCTGGTTGAGAGAAAATTATTGTTAATAACTAGTCAAACAAACGACACATATAATGAGTTTAAACTACTCGCCTTTGTCTGGATGATTTAAAAGCATAATTCGTCGATGAGCGTCTCTTATTTTTCCTTTATTAGCAGTAGGGCTAATTAAAGAGAGAGAAGTATTATTTCCATCTACTGGTCACATCAAAAAACTGTAAATGACAGCTAATTAAAGATGGTGAAACTACAGTAAGTCAACACAACAGTATGAAAAGCTGAACCTCAACACAGATGAAAAGTGCTTATTTGAACAAAGGAATGAAACTGCCCCTTAGAAATTAAGGCATTCTTTAAGATGTAGTTTACTTGATTCATTACAACAGTCCTTGTTTTGAAAAGGAAAGCATGTTTAATTATTTGGAAATAAAGGCAGAATTTCACCACACAAACTCTGTTATTCAGTTACAAAGAACATTGAGCACTGTGATAATCTGTTGAGAAGTCCATTTCTCTTTTAATTGCCAGAAGGTGTGTGTGCTCACCAGCAAGAAGAAAGCACACCCTCACCCCAGTGGGTTGTGGTCACTGTAATCCCATCTACATTTTTCTATCCTGTCACAATTTGGGGCATGCACATGTGCCCAGTGCCAGTACTCAAACTGGCTGGCTATGCCAGAACCGGCTCCCTAAAGCCCTAGGCTATGGGGCTGGGCAAGTCTACCTTTTAATGAATGAGAAAGTGCTTATGTGCTGGTGTGCCTCTCATTTGCCTTTTGCAGGAGTGTTAAGCCCTTAAAAGTGTACTCTGAAGGGGCCAGATGGTGTCACAGTAGTAAATGAGATGCTTTGTAAGGCAGATCTATACAGGAACATTACTGGTTCATGTGTGGAGACCTCTCTGAACACTTCAGCAGCACTTGTCCCTGGTCTGTGGCTGTCATGGGTGGGCTGAAGCTGGAGAGAGATTGCAATGTCAAGAGCCTATTGGGGCTGGGATGAGCAGTTAACGTAATGGCTATGTCGGTGGACTCCCATATAGTCGACTGCAATTCGAGTCCTGGAACCAATGGCTTAAACTCACACTGGGCGCATGTGCGTGCGTGCGTGCGTGCATGCCCAAGATGAGAATGGAGGAGAAGGGGTTGTGGCATGGCCATCCCCCCTGAGGGGTGATTTCTCACTGTCTCTGTCTCTCTGGCAAGTGCATGCACCCTATAGCAAAAACCTCTCCAAAAAAAAAAAAAAGCCCTATTGGGGTTGCTCTATATTTATCTCTCATTCATAAAAGAAGGTGGGAAAGCAATGGAAGGGTCAATAAGACTTGAAATGATACTATCAATCTTTCTGAATCCTCCCAATAATCCCTCCTAATAAAAGCCCTTTCTTCATTTCTTCACAGCTCTAAAGTTGTAGAAAAATATTAAAAATACTAGAAATGATCTTACCTTACACCTAATATTAATGCTGCTTCCCGTTTTGTCATTTTGGGTTCAAATCCACCTCTGTAATAGCCACCACTGAAGGCCTAAAAGATGAAATACATTCATAAAGAGATTAATAAACTGAAAGTTGCTTAAAGATGTAAATATTCCTAGAATCAATAGAAAAACTAAGACATTTCAGAGAACTTTAAACACAATTCTCATGGAACTTAGCTTTACATACAGTCACAAATTAATAATAACCGTTAAACATTTTTTCCTGGCTAATAGAAACCATCTTAGGACTATAAGGCAAAAGAACAGAGTCTCAAAACCAGTTCTGAAAGTGAAGGGAAGACCATTCCAAGCTAGCCACAGTCTAGACCAAAAAATCTGATCTCCTAATATGACAATATAGTTTAGGTGAAGAAATGTATCAAGTATTTTGAGCAAGTAGTTCAGGGGCATTTGGAGGTTTAAAGCAACCAGTAAATAAGACTTTAAGATAGACAATCATGCTATCAGTTTCTCTGACCTTGTTTTATTAGAAATCATATTGTAAAGTCTATCATTCTATTCTGTCATCTTTACTCATGGCATGAAAATAAACATTCAACATGTTGTCATAGCCAAACTCATTCTTCACTGTGACCACGGAGAGTCTAATTATCAACTAGCCATTCCCAATTGCCTGGTTAACTGCAGTGCTACTAGAGTATCATGTTAGGAAATGCCAGGACCACTCAGTAAGAACAGAGCATGTCAGATCCCTTTACCTGTGCCTGTGATGCAGCCCAGATGAGGGAAGGCAATAATGTCCAGGGTGATTAAAGTTACTAGTATGTAAACAACAAAGTAACTTCCACAACACCAGAACTGGTAACTCTGCATCCCTTCCTCCCCATTCTGTTACATCCGGCATTTGAATTTTTCAGGCAGCACCTTTGCACACCCTTCTTGTGGGAAGCAATGACAATGGATCCAAAGCAATCACTTAGAACTTTGGGAATGTCTGGAAATCTGTCCTTCCTCAACTCTAGTTCTCAGCTTCAAACACAGGCAGCCAAGTACAGCAAAAATGTTTAGTAAGTCTTACAGATTTTGGCAGACTTCGAAAAACTTGTTTTACTTGAGGTTCCATATGCTTCATGGCTTGCAAAACATAACGACCTAAAACCAAAAGCAATAGAGTAAGGAAATCCCCAATCTGCCCTGTTTCACATCCACCCCCAAACCATAAACAAACCTGCAAATCCAGCAGCAGCAATGGTCAGTCCAACTGCTACCACTGTACTGGCCTAGTAAGAGGAAAAAGTAAATATTTACTTCTCTAATTCCCACCCTTATCATGAACATTCTCCCAACATTTCAATGAGAAGAACAATCTTTAGGGTGAAAACATTCTGTCTGATGGAAGAATGAATGCCATTTGAGTCCCAGATTGGCTGCTTGGAATTCATGCTTGGAGCCTGTGCCCAAAATCCCAAGAGGAGAGTGTAAGAGAAGGGGTTGCAAGGCCATTGCCCCAGGCAGGTGACTTTTCTGCCTCTGATGAGCCTACACATCATAAAACAACAACAACGGTGTGGGGTTTTCACTGTGGAACAAAAGGGCAAGCTGACTTGTTGATTTACCTCTAAAATAGTGAAAAGGACAACCCCTTTTGAAAGCGCTTTAATAGTCGGGCAAAGGAAGTCACATTAACGTTCAATCAAGAGCAGTGGAAATAAGTTTCTGCTAGAGGTGAAAGGACGGTTTAGACAGTTCCCATAAAATCCTGGTAAGGAATTTTAAATGCTAAACGCGGGCTTAACGAGGAGACCACCTTCTCGGAGCACCCTTGCACTGTCAGGCCAGAGCGGAGCAAATACCGTGAGGCGGTGTTAGGTAACCTCGAACGCCACGTCCGTAACCACCTCGTTACCACCTTACGCGTGTTCAGGGACGAGTGAGGCCTTCGAGCCCAATCTGGGGACGCGGCTCGGGCTGCAGCGCCCCGCAGGAAGACTGCATTTGGAGGTTTAAAGCAACCAGTAAATAAGACTTTATTTCTAAACTTATTCAGAAGTGCCGCCGCGGGGACCCCAGTATCATTGGGGGTAGCGACACGGAGGGCCGCCTCAGCGCCACTTAGAGGCCGGAAGCCGAGGTTGAGGCCAGGGCTGGAGGGGACCCAGGACACCGGAAGGCCGAACTCACCATGGCTCCGGCTTGGCTTCCCTGCCTCCACCGCGAGCGCGGTTCATCCCAGCCCCGAGGCCGCCGGCAAAAAAAAAACCTCACGCCTTTTTACCGGAAAGCAACGCAACGCAGCCTCCACCCTGGAGCCCCAACCCCGAGCCCAGGCGCTCTATGAATTGCGGCAGTACGGCCGTAAACTAGGCCGTAAACTGTCGTAAAAGGGACCGCGGAGAGGGTGGAAAGGTCGCGGGGGCGGTGGGCGGGCCGAGGGCGCGACTGCGGGTTGGTGGAAGGAGGCGGGTCGCCCCCCGGGCGCAGGGTGGGCCTTCTCTGCGGTCGGGCCTCGCTGCGGGTCAGTCTGGAGTTCTCGCGAGGAAGGGCGTGGGGATTTCAGAGAGGCGCGGGCCAGTGCTGGCCGCCTCGCTCAGAATAGCTGCCTTCCCCCGCCTCGCTTGGCCGTTTGTGGTGTTTGTAATTGCCGAAGGTAGGGACTACCTAAACATGCTGTGACCGATCTCTAATGTGAAAACAAATAGCCTAGCAACCCAGCTAGCTAACGAGATGTCGCAGAAAACCAAACGAACAAACCACTGGCTGTGTTTCAGGTGGGGCTTTATTTATTGAAAAGAACCATTTGAAGACGTGACTTGACCGAACTTTCCGAGACACTTTGGGTTTACATTTTGTAGACTGGGATTACCACGGTTACTATTCTGAACATGGGATCTCAAAATTCTACAAAAGAAATATGCTATTTAAAATAATTTCCCCTTCCCCCCAAATAAGTAGGGTTTGATTTTTTTTCTCTAGGGCATCAATTTTACATGTCCCCACACTGATGCTTGAGCAGAGAAAAATAATAGCGACAATAATGGAAGTCTTAACAGTGTGCTGTTTGGATCATCAAAATAAGTTTGGGGGCCAGCTGTGTTGATTCAGTGGTGATGCACCCACTCCATGCTAAGGTCACACAGAGGTCTCTGCAGATGACCTTGGCTGATTGTTGGCTATGGGCAGGATCAGTCTAAGGACTCTGTTGAGGGTACATATCTGTCTCTTCTCATAGAAGAAATTAAAAAATTAAAAATAAAAACCACTTCGGAATAAGTTTAGAATTATCCACTAAGAATTTACAGAGCATTAAAAATTCATTTACATTGTAGTGCAATTTTTTGATAAGTTAGTTGGTTATTAGACAAACATGCAAATTTCTTGATTTTGTTTTCTTCATCTGTCAAAACTTTGCTTTAGGATCTCTAAGAGCTCTTCTAATGAAGGACCAGAGTGACTCCATTTTTTTGTGGGGCGACTCCATTTTGTTAAACCCACCTTGCTGAGAATCGGTACCATTTCAAGGAGGTGAGCCGATCACTTCGTGACCCGGGTACAACACTAGTGCTAAGATTTTAGTGCTATAATTTATTTTCAACACATGATTTAAGGTGACATCCAGCACTAAGTAACATTCAATATACATTCCCCTTTTTGCCTCTTTATCTAGTTTTTAAAAAAGTTTTGACTGACTGCACCATTCTAGTTCCAGACTGAGTGGTTTGAAAACCATACCAGGTGAGCATGAGTGTGTGCTCTAAATCTCCAGAGAATGGAGGAGGGATTGTGGCATGGTTATCCTTCCTGTGTAGTGTCTTCTCACATTCTCTCCCTCTCTTTCTCTGTCTCCAGTGAGTGCATGCACCCTAGAGCAAAATTTTAAAAATAAAAAATATTTTAAAATATTAATTTTTTCCAGAGTGAGAGAGACAAGAGAGAGACAGACTGCATTCTTGACAGTTCCACACTGCAATCTATTCCCTAAACTTCAACCCGTTCCAAATCATAGGCATGCATGTGCATGGCATACTCAGGGAAGTCTCTGGATGTGAACCAGGAACTTCTCAGGTGAATCAGTTTCTCCAAGTGTCACATTTTACCACTACACCACTGTCTTGCCCCTCTTTATCTGGTGAGGCATAAATCCTTGGCACCAACTTGGCAGAAACAAGGTAGAATGCTTCCTGGAAAACTATTATGGATATCTTTGGTATGAAAAAACTTAGTTTGCTTGAGGGATGTTTACTATATAGATGCTCAACCTCAGGAAACTGGGAGTGGGCAACATAGCAAAAGGCCTCCTAGAGGTTCAACCTGGCCCTATCACTTACAAGTCTGTGACTTGGACAAGTTATTATTTTATTTCTTCCATAAGAGAAAAACAGATTAGAGGAACACTCAACATTGTGTCCATGGCACAATCCACACCCAGCCTCAGCCAGTCTGAATTTTACCATTTATAAAACAAAGGTAATGATGACTACCTTGCCAGTTTTTCACGAGGATAGAGATTGCATTCCTGGTATGGTTACTGTTATGTGGAAAGTCAGAGTGAAAGTTGATATGCAGAGGCATTGTTGATTCTCATGACAACTCATTCATCGATTTAAGTCAGATAATCTTTTCCCTACCTGCTGAGATCCTGAGTAATCTTTCTAAATGTCCACTGACTGTTGAGTAGATAAATACTCGTTCTTTGCTTCTTTTAGTTTCTGGTGACTGCCAGCATGCCTTGACTTGTGAATGAATCACTCCAGTCTTATAGACTAGTGTCTTGAATCTCACTCTGTTGTGTCTTCCATTGCCTTCTTCCTCTGTGTAAAAAATCTTTTCTGCCTATAAAATCTGTTAAAGGGTACGTGTAATTACATTTAGGGCCCAACTGGATAATCCAGGATAGTATCACCTTGTGATTCTTAATAATAGCTGCAGAGATTTTGCCACGTAAGGTAGCACTCAAAAGTTCCAGGAATTAGGGACCAGCAGTTAGCGTAATGGCTATGTCACTGGACTCCCACGTAGTCAACCACAGTTCGAGTCCTGGACCTGCCAGACGCGTGTGCGTGCGTGCCCAAGATCCCGAGAGGAGAATGGAGGAGAAGGGATTGCAGCGTGGCCATCCTCCCTGGGGGGTGATTTCTTGCTTTCTATCTCTCTGTCTCTCTCTGTCTGGCTGGCGAGTGCACGCGCCCTATAGCAAAATCCTCTCTAAAAAAAAAAAAAAAAAAAAGTTCCAGGAATTAGAATTTGGTATCTTTGGGGTCCACTATCTAGTTTCCTATAGAGAACAAGAGAACGCAAAAGATGGGACTAACAGAGACCAGGTATTGAGAAAGGACTGAAGTATACATGCTTAATTTCTCCTCCCAAATGTGTTAGTCTAGTAAGTCACCTCTTCTTGAGAAGTAATATGTAATAGGTAAGAGGGAGTAGCTAAGAGTGTTCTTGCATTGCACTTTCATTTTTTGACCATGGCCTTTGGTAAGAAATAACATTTTACACCATGACCCAGAGAACAAATACACATTTGTACACACGCACACAATCAAAATGTATGTTTTATGAGATAACATTTACCCTTTTTTTATGAGATACATACTCGTCTTTGTAATTTCTTTTTGAAAAACATGAAATCTGTTAAGTGTATAAGCAATTAATTATTCATAACCTGAAGTTTGGAAAGCATTACTCTATAAAAACCTATACTTGAAAATATGATGCCAGTCAGATAAGGTCTCCCACACTGACCCCTGCACATAAACTCTGTGCCAAACATTGTGTTTTTTGTTGTTAGTGGTAGTCCCCCCCCATAGGATTTGTGTGCTCATTGAAGAGAGACAGAAAGGGACAGTGAGAAAACATCCATCCCCATTGGGGACAGTCATGCTACAATCCCTTCTCCTCCATTTCTGCCCACTTTTGGGATTTGGGATTTGCACCCAAATAACCCAGAATGTTTTCCAAGCTGCTGAGTTCAGGACTTAAACATGCAGTCAGCCACGTGGAATCCAACCACCATAACCACCATGCCATTGGGTAGCCCCTAGACATTGTTTTAAATGCTTTATTTCACCTAGTGACAGTTATTTTTATTTATGTTTTGGGTATGAGGGTATCTTATGGCATACATTTTATTTTCCTCTCCAGATCTCTTCTCTACTTTTATCTATGCTGCTCTGGCCCAAAGGAGCTCAAGAGGTTAGGAGGCCGACCTTCATAGACTGCATCAGTGAGCTCTTATCTTCTGGCCTTGGGTTCAGCTACATTCATGATCAGGAGATCAGAAGGTAGGAAGAGAGTGAGTTCATGGTCTTCATTTCTCCATTCCCTCCCTGATAGTTGCCATAGGCTGATGGAATTTGTCCACTGAAGACTACAGACAGCTTTTGTTGTAGGTGTGTGTTCTGGGAATTATGCTCATCTCATGTTCCTCCAGGTCTAAAGGCAGTGGTCCCTCTGCCTTACTAGACACAGGTCAGTTGACCATTACTTGCTAGTTTTCCTTAATCCTGCCCACAGCTCTGTAAATAGCCTCTTAGTAAATTCTCCATTTTTCTGTGTAACTCCATTTGGTTATGGTCTTAAAGTTGTGAATCCTACCCCCCAAATTCATATGTTGAAACCTAATCACCAATGTGATGGCATTAGAAGATGGGGCCTTTAGTAGGTGATTAGTTCATGAGAGCAGAACCCTCACGAATGGGACCAGTGCCCTTGTAAAACGAGCCTCGCAGAGACCTTTGCTTCTTCCACAATATTAGGAAACAAGAGGACACTGCCTGTGAGCCAGACATGAAATTAGCCTTGATCTTGGATTTAAAGTGAGAGGACAACAGTCTTTGAGGAAACAGACCCTCACCAGACACCCAATCTGCTAGCACCTTGATCTTGAAGTTCTTATCCTCCAAAACTGTGAGAAATAACTTTCCAATGTTTATAAGCTACCAAGTCTTTTGGTATTTTTTGTTTTTTGTAGAGGTTTTTGCTATAGGGCGCGTGTGCTCACCAGACAGACAGAGAGAAACAGAGAGACAGAAAGCAAGAAATCACCCCCCGGGGGGATGGTCACGCCGCAATCCCTTCTCCTCCATTCTCCTATCGGGATCTTGGGCACGCACGCACACGCACCTGGTGTGAGTTTTAAGCCACTGGGTCTGGGACACGAACCGCGGTCGACTACGTGGGAGTCCAGTGACATAGCCATTACGCTAACTGCTGTTTCCCAATACCCAAATGGTTTTGTCCAATGTCTAAGCAGCCGGACATACAAATCTGGTGTCAAGAGAGAGGGTTGGGAGTCATCAGCCCACAGATGGACTTCCAAGCCATGGAATTGTTAAAGCTACCTCTTGTATGAATGGAGAGAGAAAGAGGGGAATGAGAACTATGTTTTGGGATATATCTATGTTTGAAATTTGGGGGCATGAGAAATAAACAGAAAATTAGAATGAAAAGGGATAGGGGTCAGCAAGTAGTGTGGTGATTAAGTGCACTGGATTCTCACATGGCCCACTGCAGTTTGAGTCCTGGACCTGGTGTCTTACTTCCTCACTTTCTCTCTCTCATCAAATTAAAATAATAATAATAAATTTAAGTGAAAAGTGGTCAGGAACAAGGCGAGTATGGTGTCTTGACCAAATGAAGAAGAATTTAATGGATGAAGGAATGATTAACTGTGTCGAATGTTGCTACTAGTTAAGCAAAAGAATGACTGACATGTGGCTACTGGAGATCATTGGTGATATTTACGAGAATTTCTGTGGCATGCTGGAAACAAAAGTCTGATTGGAAGAGGTTCAAGACACATTGGGGGCTGGGCCTGTAGCACAGTGTTAAATGCTACACAGAGAAATCATATCCCACATAGCTGACTCATGGCTGAATCTGTTGTTAGATAGGGGAGCTGAGCTGCGTTATGTGAAATACTCAGTTCTTTAAGTCCAGGTTTTTGAGTCCACATTCTGAGATGTGGAGTGAAACCATAAACAAAAGTAAAATGAGAAAAGAAAAGCGTTTTGTCTGTTTGTTTTTATAGAAGTTTTTGCTATAGGGCACGTGTGCTCACCAGAAAGACAGAGATGGAGAGACAGAGAGTGAGAAATCACCCCCCAGGGGGGATGGCCACACCACAATCCCCTTCTCCTCCATTTTCCTCTCGGGAAATTGGGCATGCACGCACACCCGCCTGGCATGAGTTTAAGCCACCGGGACTCGAAGCATGGTCGACTACGTGGGAGTCCAGTGACATAGCCATTACACCAACTGCTGGTCCCTGGAAAAGAGAAGTTTTTAACATAAAAGTGAAACTTTTTTTTTAAAAAAACAGAAAAATAATACATTTTATGCTAGAAAAGTGTGTAAGTGGGCAGCTGTCTGAGGACAAGTGTACTGGGAATAGAGTTAGGCTTTACTTTTATTTTGGGATCTTGCCACAGATATCTAGGAGGGGAGGTCACGGGTATCTAGTGGGGGAGGTCACGGGTCTCTAGGAGGGGAGGTCATGGGTATCTAGTGGGGGAGGTCACGGGTATCTACTGGGGGAGGTCATGGGTATCTAGGAGGGGAGGTCACGGGTGTCTAGGAGGGAAAGTCACGGGGGTCTAGGAGGGGAGGTCACGGATATCTAGGAGGGGAGGTCACGGGTATCTAGGAGGGGAGGTCACGGGTATCTAGGAGGGGAGGTCACGGGTATCTAGGAGGGGAGGTCACGGGTATCTAGGAGGGGAGGTCACGGGTATCTAGGAGGGGAGGTCACAGGTATCTAGGAGGGGAGGTCCCGGGTGTCTAGGGGAGGTCCCGGGTGTCTAGGGGGGGAGGTCCTGGGTGTCTATGTTAGTCTGTAAAGGAAATTTTTAAAAATTTATTTAACTTTATTCATTTGTTTATTTTTAATTTAACTAGAGAGAGACAGAGAGAGAAAGAGAGAGAGAGAAAGTGAGAAAACAAGCCACCATGTCCAGGATTTGAACCATGGTTGACCGTGTGGGAATGTCCAGCGCCTTAACCACTATGCCACCTGCTGGTCCCTGTAAAGGAAATATTGAGAGAATGTTTTCAAAAAAAATTTGCTAGAGGGCACATTTGTTCATTGTGTATGTGGAGGGAGGCAGGAAGATAGAAAAAGTACCCCTGAGGGGATGGTCACATCACAATTCCTTCTTCTTTATCTTTCTCTCCTTTCCGGATTTTGGGCATACATGCACACTCACTCAGAGTGTTTTTTAAACTGCCATGTCCAGGACTCTAACTGGGTATTTGATTGCATGGTATCTAGCTACCTTAACCACCATGCCACCACTGGCCTACGAAAAAGTTCTTTTCTTTCTTTTTATCTATCTATCTATCTATCTATCTATCTATCTATCTATCATCAATCATCTATTTATATTTTTTATTTCATGGTCTTTTATACATCCAGTCACGTTGTTTAGCTTACAAAGTGGATATTCCAACATGTGTACATTTCTCCCTTGTCCAGTTGATACTACTATAAAATTATCTTCAACAGATAATACCACATTTCTTTGTCCCATTAATACTATGCCTCTCTATTTTTCTTCTAAATGTCCTTCCTCAGACTCTACTCTTTCACCCACACTATATCTGGTATTCACAATCATTTACTGTGTTTCTATATCCTTTAGTCAATCAGTTTCAGTTATAGAGGGCGGACACTCAGTATGAATTAAGTGGGAACATACATCATAGCCTGGCTTGCTTCACTCAGCAGTAAATAGTTCATCGACTTTCTGTCAAAAACCAGGGTCTTTTTTTATTTATTTATTTTTAATGGCTGAATAGTATTCCATAGAGTTTATGTACCACAGTTTTTTAATGCATTCATCTGTTCGTGGGCGTTTGGGTTGGTTTCATGTCTTAGCGATTGTGAATAATGCTGCAGTAAACATCGATGTGCAAGCACTTCTCCGATTAAGAATTAATCTGTCCTTTGGGTAGATACCAAGGAGTGGACTTACTGGATCATATGGTAGTTCTATTTGTAGATTTTTGCGGAATCTCCAAATTGTTCTCCACAGTGGCTGGAACAATTCACATTTCCATCAGCAGTGTAAGAGAGCTCCCCTTTCACCACACCCCTGCCAGCACTTACCATTTTTTGTTTTTTTTAATCTTAGTCATTCTGACTGGGAGGTAGGTGGTATCTCATTGTTTTGATCTACATTTCCCTTAAAATGAGGGATGTTGATCATTTTTTCATATGCCTTTTGGCTATTCAAATGTCATCCTTAGAGAGTGGTTTTTTCAACTCATTCTCCCATCTTTTAATAGGATTGATCATCTTTTTCTGGAACAGCTGCTTGAGTTCCTTGTGAATTCTGCTTATCAGTCCCTTATTTGATGCCCAGTTTACAAAAATATTTTCCCATTCTGAGGACTGTCGATTCATACTAATTTCATATGCCTTTTGGCTATTCAAATGTCATCCTTAGAGAGTGGTTTTTTCAACTCATTCTCCCATCTTTTAATAGGATTGATCATCTTTTTCTGGAACAGCTGCTTGAGTTCCTTGTGAATTCTGCTTATCAGTCCCTTATTTGATGCCCAGTTTACAAAAATATTTTCCCATTCTGAGGACTGTCGATTCATACTAATTGCCATGCAGAAACTTCTTAGTCTTATGTAACCCCATTTGTCTATTTTGGGGATTATTGACTGTGCTTTGGGGGTCTCATTTAAGGAGACTTTGCCTACCCCAGTGTCTCCCAGAATTTCCCCGGTGTTTTGCTGGAGCAGTTTTATAGTTTGAGGCCTTAGGTTTAGATCTTTGATTCACCTTGAGTTGATTTTTGTCAATGGTGAGAGGTAGGGGTTCAGATTCATAGTAAGTTCTTTTTTTCTCCTTTTCTTTTTCCTTTTTTTTTTTTTTTTGGAGAGGTTTTTGCTATAGGGCTCATGTCCTCACCAGAAAGACAGAGAGAGACAGAGAGACAGAAAGCAAAAAATCACCCCCCAGGAGGATGCCCACGCCGCAATGTCTTCTCCTCCATTCTCCTCTTGGGATCTTGGACATGCACACACACGCGCCCATCATGAGTTTAAGCCACTGGGTCCAGGACTCGAACTGAGGTCAACTACATGGGAGTCCAACAACATATTCATTATGCTAGCTGATGATCCGTCATAATAAGTTCTTTTTTTTTTTTTTTTTGGAGAGATTTTCGCTATAGGGCGTGTGCGCTCACCAGACAGACAGAGAGAGACATAGAGACAGAAAGCGAGAAATCACTGCCCAGGGGGTATGCTGGTTCCCATAATAAGTTCTTAA